TAGTTAGATTTAAGTTAGTCTGGGATGTAAGTGAACAATGATAAAGTCAATTTAAACTAGAGTACCTTAAATATGACAGGTTATCTGACTAACCAGCAAACCTCACTTTGTGATACAGGCCCTTGGTCTCTCTGTTTCCTTCAAATCTAAAACGTAAAGGAATTGTTGTTTCTGAGAAAAGCGGCTTGAAGAAAGTGATAATAAATTACAGGTCCTACCTTCTCCTTGTTTGTCTATTTGAGCTGGAGAAGAGTATGGAGGCTTTTTAAAGATTGTAACCTGAGTAGAGATGGGGGTGGTGATGGTTTATGTACAAATATTTTGTCATCAAGCTACTGGATGAAAGGAATGTCAAAAAGGTGTGTCTGTATACATCTGTATTATTTGTATTAAGAGAAGCAAGCAGTACACGTGTTTCCATTTCTTACCAAAATATATGTTTCATATGTATATTTTTAGATTTCATCTGTCTCTTGTCAGGTCTCAGTCTTCTTTGCATCGCTACACAGAAATAAATCTACATTCTTGGTTTTTAAACATGCTTCTGTTTTTCACAAAAATCCATTCATATAATTTTGTAAGAAAACATAAGGAATTATATATAAATTGAAAACAGATTAACTTCAAAACTGGCATGCCCCACACTCCACACAGGAAATGGATTTCATAAATAAAACCTAAAAAGGTTATTTACTTCTTAATATTTTCCCCTTTCATTATTTTTCCTAAAAGTAATTTGGCTCAAACAATGTTGTAAATGATCATATACATCTAATCGTAACTGGTGCCCAAACATAAATATTTTAAATACTGTGCTTTGTGGCCCTATAAAGAACGTAAGTGCTGCCAACACAAGCACAAATAATGACAGGCAGCTCCCGGTTAAGAGGCTGAACCCTGGGATTGGCCAGAGCTTGTGCTCACACTGGAAGCCTGTCGTCCTCACCTGAAAGGGGGACTGTTCACCAGTCTGAACACACACGACAGCAGCCATGAAAGCTAGTCACGTTCAGACAAGCATATTCAGGGGAGGTGAAGATGAGGAAATAAGGGCCAAAGATTGATTCCTTCTGTGTTTGTTTAGCCACGTTTTTAGGTCATACTGGACGAATCTATGGACAGTAATTTGCACACCAGAAACATATATGAAAATGTGTGCCAAGGCGTTCAAAGTAATGATGATAGGAGAGTTGGTTCCTAATTTGTTAAAACGTCTTGTCTTATATTCATAGAAATCTGTGAATTCTGCTTTGCAACCTTCCTACACTTTTCCAAGTGAACCATAGCTTTCAGTGTTAATCATGCCTGCCCTGCTCAGGAGGACTTTCACAGGGGGGCATTGTTATCATTATTATGATACTTGTTGTTATTATTACTACTACTAATACCATTACTATTATAATCGCTGTTGTGGTTGTTGCCACTATTGTTTTTGTTATATGCCATACCTAAGCTCACGGCCTATGTTTACGTTTACATATTCTCGCACTTCGTATAGTATAATCCCGGCCTTTGACTTTTGCTGATATTTGGTTCTCTTATGTTGTGTGTATTATCTCATCCTGATTTAACTGCTGCTGTAACACCGACATTTCCCTTCGTGGAATTATTAAAGTTCATCCGCTCTACTCTACTCTCATCTAATGTAATGTAATTTAATCCTGTCCCTAAGGTACATTTACATGCTCGGCCCAAGTCATGATATCTGATAGATCTTTTATTTCCATGCATTGAGAAGTGGGCCTTGAACTGACTTCATCATCATGTATAAGCCGTGCGTTTCTCTGCAGGATCGTGAACGAGCTCACAAGACCTTCCCTTACCTCGGCCACTTGGAAAGCGAGGCAGACACAGCACAGGTGGAGAACAGCCATGGTGCCATGCTTGTTTTGGCCTTCAGAAGTGCCGAGATATTTTTGGTCTGAAAAGTTCAATGTTAACGTTTTCTTAACGAAATATTAGGGTTCTGGCACCAAGCAGAAACCCACAGGGGTACAAACTAAAATAACACTACATAATAAGAAGAGCAGAGCAGTAGTTTACTATGGTATAAATCGCCTTTACACTGGATGCACTCAGCCATCGCCAAGCAGGTGTATATACCTCGATATTTGTTTTCCAGATTTCGTCTTCATATATTTACAGATAGGTGCATTTATTTCACTATTATACAACACAAATTATAAGACTCAATCATTACTAATAAAAACTTCTTGCATGTAGTTCAATTTCATTTAAAGAGAAACACATTTGTGGCCCTGGGTGTTCTGGCAGCCTACGCCAGATTCTGCTATATTAAAAACATCTCAGCATCTGGTATATGGCTGCTAATTAGCTAACTTGCGTCCGCTTCACAAGTAGTGAAATGTTAAATAACTGTAATGTTATGGAATGCAACCAGAGATATTTCTAATCATTTTTTTCACACATTCTTTTGTGGGGTAAGCATCTTTGCTGTGATCAGAAGGTTGCTGGTTCAAGCCTGGCCGTGGTACTTCTGTGAGTCCCAGCTCCCTGGTGCCACAACAGCTGGCTAATTATTATTATTATTATTATTATTATTATTATTATTATTATTAATCAAATGGTGCCCTAAGATGTCGCCTATAGGACAGGCCAGCCCGAGAGAAGCATAACTGTGGCACCACAAATCTGCATGAAAGTCAATCCAATCATGATAGCTGTAGCCTGGAATGTTTGAGACGGCTGAAACACAGTAGGCAGCTTTTTCAGATTCAAGCAAAGCAGTGACCGTGAAACCTGGCCCTTGAGGCCATTTTTATGCCATCTCTGGCAATTTATTTCTGAGGATAACAGACAGCTGCTAATCATTGTCCAGTCACTTTACTACTCTAATAAAACATGTTCAACTTAGATTGTATCTTGTTCAAACTTACTTCCCTACATTTACTACCCCTATATTTCCTATTAAGTCATTATACACAATGTATTAACAATCAGGTGTTCCTAATGAACTGGTGTATCATACAGTTAGCAGGTATAATTGGTAAGTTGTGTTAAATTCTTATAAGCAACATCTAATGTGCTTCAGTTGTAACTAGCAATGGCTTTGTGAGTTTTACATACTAACCTATTTAAGCATTGGAGAAAGTATAGGTTCACCATGAAGCAGCGTTAACATTGGTGCATTATACTTCACTATTTTGTGTCCCAAGGTCCGTCAAAATACCGTGTAACGCAGGACAATCGTTAGCCAGCTAAATATGACAGCGACAGCAGATCTTTGTTCCGTTGCCTCTTTGTCACTTTAGAGATTTCTATACAAGTTTACAACCATGATTTTAAAGCTACCTCTTGGGATGGAGTGGTGGCCCAGAGGCTAGGGAGCTATGTCAATAATCGGAAGGTTGCTGGTTCAAATCCCATGAAAGCCCAGAGTGATTCTACTCGCTTGGGACCTTAACCTGTGATTGCATTGTCCTGGGTATAATGTTAATCATCCAGCCCTATAAGCAGGTCCTCCAACTTATAGGGAATAATTTGGGGGTTGGTGGCAGGATTGACACTCCAGCCACTAGGGGGGGGAAAAAAACTCACACCAGTCCATTTGGACTAGTGTGCTGCTGAAGTATCACCTGCCACATGGCTGCTCTCAGGTTCACATCCCTGAGGTGGTTTGTCATGTGGTGGGTGTGGCAATGCACTATAATCAGTGCATGTTCCTTACCTCTTCTCTCTTGATGATTAGCTTATCTCCTTACAACAGGAACCTCCACACACAAAACCAGTGCAGAGACACTGGTCACAGAGGTGTGAGGCAACAATACTAACCACTGCTCTACCAGTCATATTCCATTCAAACATATTCAGATTTTGATTATCTGCTGGGAACTCTCCACTCACTTTAGACAAAAAGACTGATGCTTGCTTAACAAGAAAGGTGGGAATGCATGTAACAGGCCAGCATTTTCATAAAATCAATGTGGACCACAGAATTCTTGAGGGCAACAGTGATGTGTGGTAATTTGGAAGTACCTCTACGAGTCCCATGGAATTCAACACAATAATACAAATATTTACCTATGTCACATGACATTCATTTTGCTGGTTTTTAGGTTTTTTTGCAAACTAGTTCTGGGGACTTGTAAGCCTCTGCATTTTCTGCAATCCTGAGCAAACTAATCTAATTCGCGTAATGAGGGCCTCCATTATCAGTTTTCCAGCACAGTCAGTCAGATGTGTTGCTGCTTGCCTAGAGAAAAAATGTCTCTGTCCTGTATGGGCCACCGAACAGGAGCTGAAGATAAGCAGGTCAACAAGCCCCACTATGTTCCTGGATCCATGTATGGTCAAGTCACAGTGTAGGACCAAGCGACCATAGTGTTTGTACAATTCTCAATGAAATGCATTGACAGAAAATGTTTGTGAATTCAAAAGGTGGGTGTTCCATCATAAGGCATCAACATAAGTGCATCCATCAATGTAAAAATGATAAAATACGTATTTTATGTCATGTCCAAGGATTAAGCTTAGAGTCTGATAATTATATTTTGTAATATATTTGAATATAAGTAAAAATCAGTTCTTTTTAAAAAAAAAAAAAAATCTGTCAGTTTTCTGTAATCATCATCATCATCATCATCATTATCTTTGATGAAGGCACTAACAGGGTAGTGGTGTAAGAAGTACACTTGTAACCTGAAGTACCATGTGGATAACTTGCTGTTGTACCATTCAGTAAAGCACTTCAGCCTGAATTTCAGCAGCACATCCAGTAGCATGAATGGCTTCACGTGGAAAGAGTTTTGGCTAAACACCAAGTACCTTGGATACAGCAAAAAGCAGCATTAGTGTTACACTGCTGGCCTCTTGTGGCCGACAGGATGAGTGCATCAATGGTTGCCATCAATGTTAAAACAGTTCTATTCAAGAGCGGTTTCAAAACAAACAGCAAACACACAGCACAGTAATGTCTTGAACAGAGTAAAATATACAAAAGCACAACACTTTTAGAATAACAAGAATACGTAACTATTGAGAAAATACAATTATGTCACTGTCATTTATTGTGAAGCCTTGTTTGTAAAACCATTATAAGAATAATGGCTCTATCAGGGTTGTATTTTGGGATGGAAGATGTACAGTTTGGTGACTTAGGCAACTTGAGGAATGGCAGAATGAAGGTTAATGTAATATCACATGACAAGTCAAAGGGTAAATATATACATCACTAGTTTAACCATGACAAATTTAAATTATTGAAATTAATTTTGCTCTCTAGGTCTACATTCAAAGGTCTGTTTTTTTATCGTCATAACACTGACGCAGTGGCTACATTTATATTATGTAAACAGTGTAATACACCACTAGCGGAACCAAACATATTTACAACATGGTATCAAGCGACAGAAATAATATTTTTTGCTTGATGGCTGGTCTTCACAGCAGTTACATGTGGAAGGTAGGGTTATCCCTCCCCTGATTTCTTTGACTTCACATCACAGAAAAAAACACTGAAGTACAATAGAGATTCTCTCAAACAGGGCAAGACAAAATGAAGGTCACAGGTCAGAACAGAATCTCACCAGTATCGCTCTGGACTTCAATACCTGCAAACAGTGGCATGCTGCAAAAACCAAAGTTGAAAGCTTGGTCTTGATGAAAGTGTCACTCCGAAACCATCGCTGGGGAGATCTCCACGCTGCTGTGAGTGACCCGGATCCCATACCACCCCGCCCAGAACTGGGTGTCCTGTCCTCCGTGAGTGAACCTGATGAAGCGGACGCCTGGCCCGTAATCTCGGAACACATGGGTCATCTGAAAGACAGGTCACAACGGCGGGTCCAACCCCGTACGATGTCTAGTGCTCCTACACCACCACCTCTGCCCACCGTGTCAGCCATGTTCACAGCTAGCACCGTTAACACTGAACATAGTGACAACATTCACTCTGCATGTACACCCAGCATGCATTATGCTGGTCGTGCTGGTAACCAGCTATGCTGATCTATACTGGTTTTCTCAGCAGGACTGTTGGCCGAAGAAGGATGTCTTCAGGACAAAGCTTGCACAGGGGCCTCTTAGGTCACCTACATGTTACCAACAGCCCACAAGCGCTGCAGCAAAGGTTGGCATGGAGGCAAGAGCGTGTGAATAGGAAGAGTTTGGAAAGGCCACAAAGATACTTGCCGCTTTTCTACTGTCACCAAGAACTGAGCCGTACCCAAGCCAAACCGCAAAGAGATGGTTTTCCATTGTAAATTATGCAAGCCGGACCCGACCTATACCCACGTTGAAATGGCCATGCTTGCTAGCAGAGCCAAAAGCGTAACTGAGCCAAGCTGGTTGCATCACCACCATCTGATTGGTTGAAATGCGTGGGGATGCCTGTGTTCTGTGTCAATATGCAGAGATTATCTAAAGGAAAAAGGTTATATTCTATATATAATTCATTATTAGAAGTATCAGACATTGAAATATAATGATGCATTCCTGATAACTCAGAACTTACAACTAAACCTCCTACTAAAAAAATTCTACAGAACAGCTAAACGGAATGGATTTGTAATGCGCATTTACACAAGCTAATGCTAATTCCGCTAATGCTTGATGCTAACATAACACGGTGATTTTCTCACAGATCTGCTAGTGATAATTAGCACACAGTAAATAATGATCTACACCATAGGAACAGTAAATAAGCATCTCTTCAGTTTTACGTCACTGTTGCTCACCAAACCCACCAATGCTTTACCAAACAGATCTGTTTGGATTGGAAAATGAAAGCGAGCTGGAACCGCACTGTAATTAGTGTCTTTCGGGTACTGCCTTATTCCTGTATGACAGTGGAAAAGCGCCGGCTGAGTGGCCCCAGAGAGATTCTGACAAACCATTTAACACCAAAAAGAGGGAGGCAGGATTTTGCTCAGACTATGTTTAGTAAGAGTGAGGAATTAGTGGAATTCTGGGAATTGGGTGCGTGTGACTCGCTTGGCGTGGGGATGCCTGTGACTCTCACCAGGAGAAGTATTCTCAAGATGATTAAGTTATAGCTTAAGATTTTAAGACACCCACGAACTGGATACTGCCAAATTCAATATTTTTGTGCTGTAGTCTGGAGGAATTTCTGAAGCATGCAAAGACTTTATTGCCTTGCTACTATGATTTTTATAACCTACCATGTTAACCCAAAAATAAGATGTTTTTTTTTCCCCCTCAAAATACGTCTGAAAAAGTGGCGTCGTCTTGTATTCAGGGTCTAGACAGATGGGAACAGATGGCTCCAAATACGATATTTTGTAATGAGTATTTTGCCTTCTTGTAATATAGATTTGCCGTAAGATTTCTTGCTTGAGCGTGAGAGTCTGACAGCATGATGATGATGATGATGATGAGGGTCACAGCAGATGCGTGAGAGTTGGCAGCCCTGCGTGTGTTTAACGTGTATCCCTGAGTGTCATAAAATTGTTGGCTTCCCTGTCTGTGCCACTGCTAGTATTAATCTGATTAATAAAGAGAGTAACAATCATTTTAAAAGAGCTGTCATATCACTATGTGGGTCTTCTGCATCGAAAGCGTTCTGCGCCCTCAAGGGTTGTGGAGTTTGTAACATTCGTTATATAACCCCCCCCCCCCCCCCAGAAAAAAAAAAAAAACATTTGTTTTTTGGAAAGTTTGCTGTTTAAGACACTTATTGTAATCCAATTGCCTGCGGTTGCTTTATAAGCTGTGGTTGCTGGCTAACTTATTATGTGTTTTTGTCAAATAAAATTATTTTTCTTTATGAAGGTAAGATTTGGTATTCCAAAAAACTAGCTGCCAAAAAGTAGGGGGGGGGGGTCATCTTATATTTAATCCAATATGGTAATATTTAAATAAAACCTCTCTGTGGCAAAAACATTTAAATAAGTGCATGAAACTAGTAGCAAATGTGAACTGAAAACAAAATAATTGCATGTATCAAAAGAAATTTGTCAGATATGGAGCTCGGCGGTGCTTTAAACATGGAGCACTGCAGGTACCAAAGGTAAAAACTGCAATTAGCACTGAAAGAAAGCTTCAACTAATCAGCTAAACTTAATCCACATAAACTAACCGCAGTAGAAACCACAATTCAAACAGTGTTTACCTGAATTTTAGTTTTGTAAGGCATGCCACTTACCCTTTCCCACTGCATCTCATTCCACTGAGGGAAAGTTACTGGATCTGGACAGAACGTCTCAATCACTCGTTGTTCTTGGTCGAGCAGCTGAACACAAATCTCATACACACATCCACAGTCCCAGCGGGGAGAAAACCTGTCATACCAAACCAGAAGATTAAAGTTCTCTGAGAAACACGGCAACAGTCACAGAAATACGAGCTGCTCTCACCAGTCAGATATTATGATATCAGGCTGAATTTCATCCATTAGATATGGTCCAAACCCCTCTTTAACCACGTCTATTAGTTGGGATTTCTTGCAAGACCTAAAATCCAACAGAACAATGTGAAAATGTTTAAACGACCCATGTAAACCATGAAATATAATGGGAAACCGAAATCTGTATAAATCTACAAAAATACGTGAAGACCGATGCACACATACATCCCATAACATGTTTACTTAAGAGATTCAGTTCAATACTCACCCATAAGAAGTAACGAAGTACTTCTTAACTCCTTCATCTGGAAAATTTAAAGCTACGTCTTCAATTTTCCACCCATCACCTCCATTTAACATGATTGTCCATCCTGTGAACATTTCTTAATGATTGGAAGAGAAACAAAATCTGTTTAACAAGGAGCAGGCAATGTTTTTCGTTTATACTGTAATTCGCCTCCCCTCCAACCCTTTATCGCACTGATAATCCATCCTCATCTCCATCTATTTCTTACCATCAGCCCTAGTGTTCTTCAGCAGATTTCTTCTATTCTTACTTAAGATGTAAAACTGGCACCAGTCTTCGGGACATTTGTTCTGATTACGCAGCTTAAGCCCTTCCCGCCGGCACCTCTCTCTCCAGTAGGAGGCGCTGTCAACTATTTCCTTCCACTGATGACAAACAAGCCGGCAGACGCAAACCACATCATGTGGGGAGATGTTTAAAAACACTTCCTCTAGCACTGCAGTAGGGAGCAAAGGCAGCATCCTGAAAAAAAAAGGAGAGAAGTTGCTGCTCAGAAAAAGTATGGAATATTTATTTCAGTTGTTTTACAAACTATTTAAAAATTGCCCACATTTCTGCCTAATTCAGTGAGTATTCAGCTATATTAGTTCATAGGTTTATGGTCTACCATCTGGTTTGTGTTAATATTGAGAGGAATCTAACACTTATCTTACAGGGATATTTAAATTTTACTGCATATTTAATTTTTCCTCAAAAATAGTGCTGTTAAAACTAATTCTTGAACTTCAGGGACAAAGCATGAAACTTGATTATAAATACAGAACAATACATTTTTAATTTAAAAAATAGCGTTCAGCTAAATTAATTTAACCAATCATTAGTCCCCTTCAGCAATTGGGATATTTAAGCTGATTGATTAAAAAATACAAATGAATGCTTTACTTTCAATTATCTAAACTTCTAAGCAGCATACGAATTCCATTTTAATTCAACAAATGGCCTTTGCATTTTCATTTCTTATGAAATCCTAAGACCTCAAAGGAGGGGCAATTCCAATAGTTTATACCATCTATGACCCACTTTCACCACCCATGGGTGCAATGATGTACAAAGGTCTTCGCGAGTCATCAAGTTCAAGTTCAAAGTTCAAATCTTTATTGTCACATCATGTTACTGGTACAGTACATATGAGTGAAATTCTTGTGTGCTAGCTTCACAAGCAATAGTGGTGTGCAAAATCTATATATATATATATATATATATAAAAAGAAAAGATAAAAAAAAAAGATAAGTACAAGATATACATATATAATATTAGACGCATGAACGTTGTGCAAAGAGCAGTTATGTGCAACATGAAGTGCATAATTGACATGGAGTCGATAAAGTGGCAGTGGGGTTTTTTGTTTTTTCCTTTCCTTCTTTCTTCCCTTCCTTTCCTTCCCTTTTCCTTTCCTCTCTTTTTCCTTTCTCCTCCCTTTTTCCTCTTCCATTCCTTCTGCGAAGTGTCAGTGGTTAGTGTTCATTATTCTGATTGCCTGATGAAAAAAGCTGTCCCTTAGCCTGCTGGTACGGGACCGAATACTGCGATACCTCCTGCCTGACGGAAGCAGGGTAAACAGATAATGACCAGGGTGACTGGAGTCTTTGATGATCCTCCTCGCTTTCCTCAGACACCGCTTCTTGTAGATGTCCTGGAGGGAGAGGAGCACACCTCCAGTTATCTTTTCCGAACACCGCACTACTCTCTGCAGAGCTAGGCGGTTGTAGGTGGTGCTGTTGCCGTACCAGGTGGTGATGCATCCTGTGAGGATGCTCTCAATGGCGCAGTGGTAGAAGGTCCTGAGGATGCGGGGGCTCATGCCGAATCTCTTCAGTCTCCTGAGAAAGAAGAGGCGCTGCTGCGCCTTCTTCACTGCTTTGTCAATGTGAACTGACCATGTGAGATCCTCCGCTAAATGTACACCCAGGAAATGGAAACTACTCACTCTCTCCACAGCAGCGCCGTTAATGGTGATGGGGGTATGTGCTTCTCCACATCTCCGGAAGTCCACTATCATCTCTTTGGTCTTAGCCACATTTAGGGTGAGATGGTTCTCCTGGCACCAATGTGTCAGGGCGCTGACCTCCTCCCTGTATGCCGTCTCATCCCCATTGGTGATGAGACCCACCACTGTTGTGTCGTCTGCATATTTCACGATGATGTTGGAGCTGTTAGTGGCCATGCAGTCGTAGGTGTAGGTCCAGTACCATTTTAGGTATAATTATGGGCTGTGTGTGACTCTACAAGTTATTCAGAAGTATGATTCGAAAGTCTAGTTTAAATCCTGAAGCTGACAGAGTTATAATAAGATATCACTGCTGGACTCTTTAGCAAGGACTTCAACTCCAAAAGCCTTGCCCTCACCTGTGTCAGTGTGTCTCATAGGAGAGTAAGGTGGCATACATAAAAATTGAAGAATTTTTTGATACAGGTCAGCAGCTGGTCAAGCGGTGTGAAACTAGGATGTAAACTATGACTGAGCCCGCTCACATGAGTGACTGAAGCGACTAAGTACAGTAATATTAAAACTTAGCCAACATATCCGAAACACTAAACCGAAAGTATTATTGTTCTCGGAAGTTATTCTGAATGAGATGAAATCAGTTTTAGGTTGGATATTCCACGGATATTCAGATCCACACTCTCCAGATTATCGGCGGTGTTTCACTCACGCTAGACGGCATAAGGCGGTCGAAAAACGACCAGATCAATTCCACAGCCTCGGAGACGCTCGCGCACCGCGAAAAGGGTCTGGCTGCAGCCCCTCAGAACTTGCACTTTCAGCCAACCGCACGCTCTGCCACAACAGGAAGTGCAGGGGAATCAAGCGCTAACTTAATTCTTGAGGCCAGAACGGTATGTTAAGGTTTATTATTTGTATTACTGAATTATATAGTTACAAGTTTATTTATTTCATACCATACATTATTGCAATGTAGTGCGTTAGTAACCTTTTTCTCTGACTGGAGTGAATTATTTCAGTTAAGGCAACTACTAGCCAGTTAGCTCACGTTCTTACAGTAAAATAGACACATTTCTACTTTTACGGAGCTTTCCATGGAGTTATCTTGTGAGTGTCTTCGTTTCCAGCATATAGTTTTTAGTTTTTCGTGTGGTCTTCAGGAGAACGTTTCTCGGTCTCCTTATGGCAAGGCAAGACAAGTTTATCATCATAACATCATTAGGGTGACAATTTCACAATAAAAATGCATATAAAGTGCTTGAAGTGATTCAAACAAAAGTTGCTGTGTCTTATATGGCTGAGGTAGTACTACAATTGGCACCTGGTTTTGGGTCACAGGCTCCCACGGCCTAGGACAGGGGTCTCCAACTCCGGTCCTGGAGAGCTACTATCCAGTAGGTTTTCTGTCCCACTTGGCTTCTGATGAGCCACACTTGTTCCTGGTATTTACCTGAGAACAGGTGTGGCTCATCAGAAGCCAGGTAGGATAGAAAACCTACTGGACGGTAGCTCTCCAGGACCGGAGTTGGAGGTCCCTGGCCTAGGAGCTATTGGAAAAAAAAGGCTAATATTAAAAAAAAATAATCATATCAAGTAAGCAAAGGGTTAAAATCGAAAGAAAGTTGCTGTGTCTTATTGTTTTCAGGTAGTAGTATAATTTGCACCCATTTGGGGGGTCATAAGCTCCAATTGCCTAGAAGCTATTGAAGAAAATCTATTTACCCATTTTTTTCCTTTTAAAATGATCATATAAAATACAATAAAGTGTTACAAATTAGTAAAATTCACTGTGTCCTGTGTATGTCAGGTAGTTGTAGAATATGCCCCCATTTTGGAGTTACTGGATCCCATTGCATTGAAATTATTGCAAGCAATCAGTATTTTATTATTCTGAAGGTAATTCGTTGACGGTCCCTAAATCGGCGTTGCGCGAGCGTCTCCGGGGCTGTGGAATTGATCTGGCCGTCTTTCGATCGTCTTATGCCGTCTAGCGTGAGTGAAGCACCGCTGCTATGTCTGGAGAGTGTGGATCTGAATATCCTTCGAATATCCAAAACAAAACTGATTTCACCTCGGTGCTCCGAGCAGGTTTGAGGATTTGAATGTGCTGCTATGACAACACATCCAGCAAGAGTTTCGAAAAACCGACAGATCCAGGATCATGCCAAATCGTCAACAACTACATCCGGCTAAAAGAGTAATCCACGTACGAAAAACACCCACCAAATCTGCTAAGATATAAAGCAACAACACACAACAGCGTGTTCATGGAGGCAGCCATGTTTGTTCCGAGATGTGCTCGAACGGCAGACTGTCGGACGTGATGTCACTCACCTCGGAATTTCTGAGTTCCGAGAGAAATCGAACGTCTTGCGTCCCGAAAAGAGACGGGTGACTCGGATATTCCGGTTACGTAATTGTCGGGGTTGTAAGACTTATTAATATTCATGAGAAAAGCTACCTGATTGGTCAGTGAATGCCTTAAACAGAATGGCTGAGAAACCATGCTAATCGCTAACTACCAGAATCCATAAGCCAGAACACTATTAGCCAATGACAAGGAAACAGACTGTATTGTGAGTGTGGTCAAAGGCTTAAAATTTACAGTCATACTTTGGATAGGCATTTTACAGCAGATGGATTCGTTTTTGAATAATGACGTCTCCATATTTCAATCCATTTCTAGAAAACAGCGGAAATGCACCGAGTCCAATGTACATTTTACTTCCATTGCAAACAATGACATAAGGAAATTCAGTTAAGGACGTCTACGGGTTGAAAAAATATCAATAGTTGTTGAGGTTGGGCGTGGGAAAAGGCAACACATGTCGATGGGAGCACGTTTGCCGACCAATCAGGTAGCTTCTCTCATGAATGTAAATAAGTTTTCCCGAACCACCCAGTGCGGTGTGTGATAAGGTGGCCACTTAATTATCACTAAAAAGGAGGACAATTTAGTAAGTTATTATTAGATCTTAGTAATTATTAGTTACTAGTCATTATTTCGACATAGTAAGTCATTATTTCGAAATACTAAATCACTATTTTACTTTGTAAAATAAAAACTGCATACCTACTATTGGCCCACCCTGTTTATGTATATTTGTCTGTGTATGCTCTTGCTGCTGTGTGCACCAGAATTTCCTACTGGGATCAATAAAGTTGAATACAACCTCATTTGTGTGACAGGTTTGTGCCACCAGGACAGGTGCCATCACGAAAGGTCCCATCAGGTCAATTGCAGTACTTGTATGGCCACTAAACTTGATATCGGATTGGGTACTGAGAGTGTTCATTGTTTTTTGTTGATGTAATGGTAACTGGACTGCTTTTTTTCAGTGGAATCTTTGTAATCAGTAATAAGATCATTTAAGTATATCGTAGTGTGTGAAATGAATTATTTATTCGGCAAGCAGTTGTACGTTATCCCTTACGATTTATATCGGTGGTGAAAAGGAGGACAAATAATCAGAATCAGAATTTGAATCAGAAGACATATAAGCATCCGCCCAGAATATACGCCAGATGGAGGGCATCGAGCTGAAAAACTGGACTGTTCAACCTAAAGCCAGATATCTGCTTACTCTAGAGAGTGGTGTCTCATCAGTATTGCAAAATAATATATTATGTGCACTACAGTCTTGTGAAAAAGAAAATCTATGGTTAATATATAAAGCATAAAACAACCTGAGGTTATGCCGTAACAATACAGAAACTCCTTATAGTTTATGTAAGCGAGACGGATGACTTCGCAGACACGACGAGGGAACGAGTTATCTGAATCGTTGCGTACACAATACTGAAAAAGACTGAAGCTAATACAAGCAATTGGAGGTAGAGGGGCTGTACAGCTGCCAGTAGGCTGCAAACTAACCCTATAGAACTGGAAGGACTCAGTTAGAATTCTCAAGTCACAAGTGTCTCAAGTCACAAGTGTCAGTTAGAATTCTCAAGTCACAATTAGAGTCTGAGTCAAGGCCGAGTCAAAATTCACCCGTCGAGTTGTGTGACAAGTTAGGCATTGTGCAATTCATACCGGCAACAGATTAATATGCTTCATTAGAAAGAGGAAGCAGTCAGCCGTTACACTATATGAGATCAGTCATAAAATACTTGAATGTACAGCTGAACTGTGCATTACAGATTGTGGCCGCTTCCCCTAGGGGGATAATCTTCACGCTGCTGGTCCAGTAGAGGTCGCCTCCGCGGGTGAACCTGATGAAACGGACACCTGGCCCATAATCTCGGAACACGTGGGTCTCCTGAATGACAGGTCAGAGCAGTGGGTCTGGCAGCTTTCCCTGACACCCTCACAAACACCAAGATCACATTAGACTGGGTCACCTCCCCCCTCTGGGATAGTCTCTGCCAGGGTTCCATGCATGTGGAATTTGCATGTTCTCTCTGTGGTATGACAGGGCTTACTCCAGGTACTCCAGTTTCCACCCACAGTCCAAAAACATGCTGAGGCTAATTGGAGTTGCCAAATTTCCCATAGCTGTGTATGTGTGTGAATAGTGTGTGAGTAGTGTGTGAGTAGTGTGTGAGTGTGCCCTGTGACAGCTTGGCACCCCATCCTGGGTTGTTCCCTGTTTGCACCGATAGGCTCCAGACCCCCCATGACCCTGAGTAGGATAAGCAGTTTCAGAGAATGGATGGATCTTTAACTTGGATTCTATACATATTAAGTCAAAGAAAGATTTGTGGGCAAAAATCTATTCTTCATAGATTTGAATATAAAAACTTACGTTTTTTTTGTTGTTGCTAATGAATTTTGAAGATTGCACATGGTCAGTAAAGACAGCTCTGTCGGCTGGCTTTTCCTTAGGTCTGCCCTGGCTGTTACATTAGGCTGGTGCAGGGCAAACACTTGCACACACAATTACAAACTATGGGGAACTGAGACACTAATCTTCCATGCAGGCTCAGGGAGAACATTTAGACTCACCTGAAAGAAGCGCATTTCATCCGAGCCCATTTGAAATCCATACTCAGGGGCAGATTTCTGAATCACTTTTTTCTGTGGTTGAGAAGCTCAACACAAATCTGATGCACAAATTGACAGCCTCAGTTCAGAGAAAACCTGTCATACACATACCAAACCAGAAGATTAGTATCCCCTGAAAAACACAGACTGAAAAATAGCAACAGACACAGAAATGCAAGGTGTTCTCACCAGTCAGATACAAGGATATCAGGCTGAACCGTATCCATTAGGTATCGTCCATACCCCTCTTTAACCAGGTCTATTAGCTGGAATGTTACGCCGGACCTAACACCAAATAAACAGAGAAAGGTAAAAATGTTTATCCTACAAGTAACCCATCCAATATAACGTAATACTGACATTCTTCAAAAATATGCAAATAATGTCTGCACATCACACAGACCGTTTTATCAATGCATCACAGTATTATGCATATTTTAAAGTTTTCAATAATGGGTGCAAAGGGTGAATACTGACACATGAGGGGTAACAAAACATTTCTGGACCCATTCATCAGGAAGACACTGATGTGAAGGTAGGGGCTCGATGTGCAGCCCCTTTTCTTCACCAATTACGGCTTTCCAGGCAACTGAAGTGCTCTTAACAAGAAAAGAAATCAATTATATTAACCCAAGCCTGAACTTTTTTTGCTTAACAACTTCTTCAGTCAATCCATCAACTTCAAACTGCCTTCCTATGCCCGCTTTGCTTTTTGTTATGTTCTATTCTCTTACTTGGAATTGTTCATCACAATTAATAAAAATAAATATTATAATTTAACATATTATTATATGTATTTTCCATGCAATGGTTGGTAAATTAGACCATGTAATGATCACCAAAAGTATATTGACACCAATTTATCAGTAATGCATTGACATATGTTACTTGTAAGAGTTATTTAATCACTGTACAGGCAGTGGGGTTATAAATTTCCACATTTAAATCAAAGAAGCGCAGTGAAGAACATGCGCAGTCTGCAAGCATGATCCCACACACACAGTTGTATTAAATTTGGGATGATTACTGAAACTGACTAGGTGGGGCACAAACAGCCCCACCTAGAATATTTTTCACCAGCCGCCACTGATTTCCTATGAAGTGAAGTGAAAGTGATTAATGGTCATTGTTCACACCCATCAGCACATAGTGCGCAACAACAAAATGTGTCCTCTGCACTTAACCAACTATGACATTGTGACATAGCAGGCAGCAGCCAGGGAGCAGTACTTGGGGGCGGTACCTTGCTCAGGGTACCTCAGTGTTACCTTGCTGTTGGGGAATTGATCCTCTGGTTTCCTTCCACTGTCCAAAACACGTAACTTAAATGAAGTGGAGTACCAAAACTTGACAGTAGGTGTGACTGAGTGTGCACCCTGCAATATGTTGCTGGTTCCTGCCTCATGCCAAGTACAATGTATTATATTATACTTTATTATTACTGAATGAGTAGAGTACTCAATTATTGATATAATCCACAGTGACAGTCCTAATCATCAAAAGATTATTACTCACCCGACTTGCCTTTTGCCCCATTACTCAAGGAGTTTTTTTTTCCACTTTAAGTCTGAATCTGCAGAACAGTACAGACATACAATATGGATGAGAAATATTACAGATAGCCCCAAGCAAAACGAATTGAGACAACCCCTCCCAACCACACACAGAATCTTAGTAAACAGGAAGGAGGCAAGTTTTAAACTTTATACCCAGATTCGCTCTCAAGAATCCCGAGCCCCACTCCACAACTTAGGGGCCCGCACCTATATTGACTAAACATAATATAGCAAGGCTGCCAACTCTCAAACATCTGACTTGACATTCAGGTTTCAGACTCTCACGTTCACCTAAGAAATCTTACGGCAAATCTATATTATTCCGTTATAAACCATTAGCTGCATCAAAAGCCTATAAGGACTATTTAGAAGGCAATAAAACTGTTACATGCATTTAAATGAGGATGCATACTTTTCTCCAATTGAAAATCTCACGCCGTCCAGCTGAAAACATCCAAAGCTGGAAACCCTAGTATAGTAACCTGAATAATACGATTGTTTCACTGTACAAGTGTTAACTTCAAACAATAAACACTGACTATTGTAAAATGACATTCCAACAAAAAAAAAATTCCAATCCGATGATTTTACTTGTTACGTGCCGTAAGTTTGGAGATGCCTGCAGGTTCTTCGGAAATCTGCCCACTCGCCCATTCCTCGGCCGCTCGTTCGACTCCGCTCCGGACCTCCCTCCCTCGTCGCCGGCTGCATCTTGGCTCCGCCTTGCTGACCAGATCCCGCCCACGGCTCCTCCGATGCGCCGCGCGTCAGTTCCTGTGCCTGAGGAGACAAGGCCCCGGCTAGCAGACTTCGGGAGCTCTTGCTCGTTTTTCTCTTGTTTGGATTGCCTGTGATTACTGCTTTGCCTTACTGTGTATGACTGTTTTTTGTTTCTAGACTCCGACTTTCGCTTTGCCCCTTTCTGGTACTGTTGCTTTGGTTGTTTGCTCTTCTGGTTTCGAACTCTCGCCCGGCTCCCGACTATCCCCTTTGCTCGCCCCTTCGGACACCGTGTTTTCCTTGTCTCTGTATTCACCGTGTGTTTGTTTTGTTTGGTGCGTACGGGGTGGCTGCCTTTTTGGTTTTGCGCAACGTGGTGTTTACTGTGTGTTTTGGATAGGGAGCCAGGTTTAGACCTTGTCGTTTTTGTTTGATTTCTTATTTTCACTTAGGGTTTAGCTTAGTTTGGGTTGTGTTCGGTAGATGTGGTTTTGTTTGTTGTTTTGGCCTAAGTCAATCCGGAAGTCGGTTGCACCTACTGTCTGTGAATAAAATACAAAAAAAGATCCCTTTGTGTCCTGTGTTCCCTTTTCCTGATCCTATTTTGTCTTGTCGTTCCCTTGTCCTTTTCCCATTATTTTTCTGACGGTCCCCAACCCTAGACTGGGGATCGTAACATACTTTTCATCGTGACCGAAACGTCACTCCTACACGTTTCTCGCAAGGTTCTTGCTGAAAGGAAGTGCTTAATCATGTGCTTGAGTAACGTGTACTTCCAATAACGAAAGAAAACTCCTCCCTGTTCCCTCTTTAAAAAAAAAAAAAAAAAAGCAAAACAAAATAAAACGCTGTTTTGAAATAGTGTGTGCGTGGCGCCACCTACCAGTCTAAAAAGGAATAACAGTGGCTAACATCGATGAGCGTCAGTTCGGAAGCACAGAGCGGCGCACCGAAGTACTTTCGAAGTCATTTGTGCGCCAGCAGATCTTACAGAGGCACGAGAAATGCAAAGTGCGTCCTTTAAAAACGAGGAGTGAAATCGTATAAATCCACGCTTTCCTATATATAGTGTGTGTGTCACGGACTGAGCGGTGACGGAGTACTGTTGAGCTGAAAAACTGGACTGTTCAACCTAAATCCGGACATCTGCCCACCCTAGAGTGTAGTCTTTTATAAGTATTGCAAAATAACATGTTATGTACAGTACAGTCATTGACAAGAGACTTGTCACATAAGGACATAGTAACTTAAAAAGGCATATAACTTTATTT